ACTCTTCTGAGTTCTAAGCTCGTGGTGACTTCTCCAGACCATTTGTACCCTCAGCCTGCAGCAGAAGCCTCTAGCAGGCCCCGCCCAGCCCTCAGAGAGCAAGCACGAGGCTGCCTGTCCTCCAGGAGGCCCTGGGCACTTGTCATTTTGCCGATGGAGGGAGCAGCCTCTTCACAAAGTGGTGGCTCTTAGAGGATGGTTCTCGACTTGATTGTGTACTGAGTCGCCTGGGGACCTTGTCATGATGCAGATTCTGAGTCAGAAGGTCTGGGCTGGGCCCTGAGACTCTGCATTTCCTCCCAAGAGGTTCTGCCACAGCTTTTAGTCCATGAACCACACTTTCTTTGATTAGCAGACCCTTTGTGTAGGAGAAACTGCTGCCTAAGTTCTACCTTTTCCCGCTGCTCTAAAGACATGATGAGAAGGAAAATCAGCAAACGTTTACGGAACATCTACCCTGCACTAGGCCCTGCTGGTGAACAGATGAGGAAACGGCTCCACCCAGTAGGACTTAATTAACACATCAGGTCCACCTACTGCAAATAAAAATTAGCAACAAGTCAAGAAAAGTGAGATGGATTAAATCCACCGTCTATGAAATGCTGTGGTAAAGGGAAATCGGGGGCCGCGAGAGCTCAGTGCTGAGCTCCTAAACCAACCTTGGGGAGGACGGATGGGCTTCCTCAGGAAGCAGTGCAGCAATGATGACAATGATGGCAACAAGAATTATAGTTACTGTTTATTGAGGAGCCAAGTGTCAGGCACTGTGCAGCCCAGTTTATGTACTTATTTAATTTTCACATGAATCGCGTGATATATTAATTCGTCACCATTTCACAAATTGGAAAACTGAACGCCAAACAGATTAAGCAATTTGCTGATGCTAACAGAGCTAAATGAATGTGATTTTATAGTTTATCTTCTATTTCTAGTAGCACAAATTTTGGTAATGATGTTGTGCTTCTCCGTCCTATAACTTGTGGCACTTTCTTCAAGTGCGGTGTCCACCTAGGTCAGAGTGATCTGGAGGCTTATTTACAAGGCAGATCCCTGGGCCTCACTGTAAACCTACTGAATCTGAATCTTTGAAAGTGAGGGCCAGGAATTTGCCTCTCCTGCCGAAGTTGATGGGGAATATGGTCTTCAGTTTTGCTCTGAAGGGTGAGTGCAGTTTTGTTCATCAGGGAGTAGCAGATAAGGCCGGGAGGAGGGATGAGCATGGTTATTGGGAAACCCTGTGTGAAAACTGGCCGAACAGGACGAACCGGAGTGAGAGGCACCTGGTGGAGTGGGACAGGGACGGCCCCGGAGTGTTGCCCTTGGACTTGCAGTGTTTGCTGGAGCCGTTGGGAGACTTCAGGCATGACGTGTGTTGTAGGGAGACGTTTGGTACAGGATGGGGATGGATTAAAGGGCTGGGACCCAGTTGTCAACACAGTCAAAGGAGCTGAGGTCCCAGGCCGGTGTAGTGGTCAGAGGGGCAGAGAGCACAGAAGTTTGAGAGAGTTAGACGAAGAGCCAGAAACGCAGAATAGCAGATCACGTGCGGCTGGTTCCGAATCCTGCTTCCAGATCTGTTATGAGGAACGACTTGGTATTAAAATGTCATAGGGGCTTCCCTGGTGGCGCAGCGCTTGAGACTCCGCCTGCCGATGCAGGGGACACGGGTTCGTGCCCCGGTCCGGGAAGATCCCACATGTGGCGGAGCGGCTGGGCCCGTGAGCCATGGCCGCTGAGCCTGCGCGTCCGGAACCCGGTGTCCGGAGCCTGTTGCTCCGCAGCGGGAGAGGCCGCAACAGTGAGAGGCCCGTGTACCGCAAAAAAAAAAAAATGTCATAAGAATATAAAAATAGGTCTTGCCAAGGTACTACCAATCTGAGCTGCCCAGGCTTTCCTCAGTTATCCACATGTTGTAGAAAGATGGGGGCTGCAGAGCTAATGCACTGAAAGTAAACAGTTTCACTTGACTTTAACCTTTTTCTTCATTTCCTCTGTTTGTACCAAATCCACTGAGCCAAAAATTATTTGACATGATTCACTTTCCTTCTCTACCCCTATTTAATTGGTTACCATGTGCAGTGAAACAACCAGAAGAGAGATGCAGGTAGGAAAGGAGAAAAAGGGGTTCTCCATGGGCCCTGGCATGTGTTTCTTAGAACGATGAAAGGAACCACCTCCACTAAATTGATCCTGTTGGTCATGGCTTCCTTGCCTGTTTTGTTAGAATTCCTCGCATCCATTTGGTCCATTTTTCTGGTGATGAAGCCAAGTAAGTCTTGCTGTGGAAGCAGTGGCAAGAAATACTGTGTGTGCAGAAAGTTATAGCTTAGCAAGATGGGTGGAATCCATCAGTGTATCACTGACCCTTCTTAGGCAGACAGTTCCATGCTGCCCTCCTGGCTCTGCCCAAGCAAATGAGTCCCTACTGCCTTAGACAACCAGACCCACAAATGAAGGAGTCGTGGGTTAAGGGTCCCTGGATGAAAACCCTAACACTTCAGGACACATTGTACTTGCTGGGTCTACGCTATGGCTTCCAAGAGCCACAGGAGTGTACCCTTCAGTAACAGGACCCAGACAGGGGTGCTGAGTTTCTGCATCTCAGCCACTTTGGAATTAGCACTGCCTGCTTTGGTCCTGAACATGGTGACCTTGTGTCCTGTGCTTGGAGGCTCACAGGAACAGGATGAGCTGTCCGGGAGGGAGCCCTTGGTTATGACTGGTTCGCACTTTGTTGTTAGGGGAGCAGTCTTCTCAGCCCCCTGGAATTATTAGGCTTCTCTGTATCTCAACTGTAGGATCAGCAGTTTAGTGTCCACATACCCACAACTGCATGATCCTAAAGTTTCCATCAATTTTATGCTCCCGCCTAAGAGTTTCTATTTCTGAACAACATGTGAATTTATCCCATAGCAGAGCGTCACAGCTTCGGCTCTTTCTGTAAACGTGTTGAGCCTCTTGCTAGGTGAGCTGGACACTGTACAAGGTGCTGAGGCTATAATGGCAAATTATTCACGGTCCTTGCTCTGTGTGGGAGGAGATAGCTGCGTAAACAGGAGGAACGGTACAGTTGTCTTCAGAGTCCAGGGCTATCATCTATAAAAAGTGAGAAGATCATAGTGTGTCCATCACTAGCTTGTTGAGGAGAATAAGCTGGTGAGATAAGAAAAGCACTTAGAACACTGTCTGGCTCATGGTGGGAGGGTTGGCAGTATCTGTCACTGTCATCATCGCCATCACCATGGTTGTTGGCACCGACCTACCACATGCCCACAGTGGGTCCAATGGCTGCAGAATAGGGGGAGTGATGTAACCCATCAAGAAGGTTCTCAGTGGAGGTAACGTTTGAGCTGAATCTTGAAGGGAGAGTAGGGATTGACCCAGAAGACAAACCAGAGAACTGAGGGCAGGTAACCAAGGCTCTGGGGTTTGAAACATCAGGTGGTTTGGGGAACCCAGCAGTTCAGGAGTGAGGGTGGTTACCTGGGGTGATGGGGAAAAAAGAAGGCCGATCCAAAGAGAAGGGGGGGCCTGGAGCGCCCTCCTTGGGCTTCTCTGTGAAACAGGAGAGGAAATCTGTGGAGGTGAAGAGCCTCGAGGCCACCAGTGGAGACACAGCAGCCCTTCTGAGCACGTGAGGGACAAAGGCCAGCCAGGGACTTAGCTGAGGAGGGAGACCGAGCGTGGGTCAGCAAGGAAGTCAAACCCACAGGAGGAAAGCAGGACGTGTCCCAGGAGAAAAGGAGCTTTTCAGGTGCAACAGGCAAGGTTATTTCTAGCCAGGGGAACCAGCACAGACTCTATAGAGATAAAGTGGGGGCACAAAGAGGCCTTGATGATGTGTCAGGAAGTTGGGCTTTATTTCCAGGCCATTGGTAGGTTTCAAACTGGAGGGCAACAGGATCAGATATGTGCCAAAAGAATGTCATTCTGGCAGGACTGAGGCTGTCAAACTGGAGAAGGCCGCACTCAGGCAGATACAGTTGGAAAAACATCGAAGGCCTCAGAGACCAAGAGGCAGGAGCCTGCAGTGCTCCCGGCATGGACAGCGGGTGTGAGGTCATACACACGCCCCACCTGCCACTGCCCTCTGGCCCGACTTCTCCCAGGTGGCCTACAGCCCACAGGACTCAGCCATGGACCCGCAGTCCCCAGGGCTAGGTGATTTTTAGGAATATGAAGTCCAGACAGGGGACTACAAGGTCATCCCAAAGACACCCTGAGGGCTGGTCTGTCTGACCTGGAGCCCCCCTTAATTTGGAGCATCTCTGGGAAGTTTCAGTGCCACCGTCACGGAACCAAGGGGTGGGGTGCGTGCAGGTGCCATCAGGCCCCCAGAGTGCCTGTCGGAGCCTCCCTACGGTGGGGAGAGCCCACCGTGGATGCCACATGAGTGGTCAGCCCAGCCACCGTGCTCACGCCGAGGCCCGGCGCGGGGCATCTGAGCCCTTTTCTGTGACCACGAATCCTAGAAAGCCTCCTCTCCGGTGGGACGAGCATCCCCACATGAGGGGATTAAGGTCGGTGGCATTAAAGTCACCTCTGGAGGAAGACAGTCTTAGTGGACTTGAACCCAGGGCTGGCTTCTAATCCCGTGCCTGTTAGAAAGCGCCAGCCGAGAGGGTATTTCCACGTTACAGAGGCGCAGTTGTCGGCGTTACGCGCGTCCTAGCAAAGGTCTCTTTGAAGGTGCTTGGGTTTCCATGAGCAGAAGAGCGCATTCCCCCTTCCTGCTGGTGAGCTTCAGCCTGGCAGCTGTGTGACACACGCCGCCAGCACCTGGGTCCCTGAGGGCCCTTGGGGGCAGCGTGCTTCGAGCGGGAAGTGAGAGCTGGCGGGTGCTTGCTGAGTGGCGCTCACCTGCCGGTTCTTCGGTTGAAGCATTTCATCTCAGGGGCCCGCCTCCAGGACCACGGTCCCCAGGTGGGCACCTGTGGTGTGCTACGTTTTTTCTGATGCCCCCAAACTCACATCTGCCTCTCGCCCTCCTTCTGCCGCAGATCCTGGCGCCCCTGTGAAATTGCCTTGTCTGCCAGTGAAGCTGTCGCCTCCGCTACCTCCAAAGAAAGTCATGATCTGTATGCCCATGGGGGGGCCAGACCTCTCCCTGGCGTCCTACGCGGCCCAGAAGAGCGGCCAGCAGGGCGGGGCCCAGCACCACCACACCGTCCTGCCCTCCCAGATCCAGCACCAGCTGCAGTACGGCAGCCTCAGCCAGCACCTCCCTGCCACCACCGGCTCCCTCCCCATGCACCCCTCGGGCTGCAGGATGATAGATGAGCTGAACAAAACGCTGGCCATGACCATGCAGAGGCTGGAAAGGTAATGGAGGGAAGGGGTGAGGGCAGGAGAGGAGGGCTTGGCGATCCGACCATGACCAAGGAGTGAGAAGACCAGCGCAAGCAAGGGCTCACACCCACTTGGGGGGGAGGTTCGGGGGGGGGGGGTGAAGGTAAAATCAGACCAGAATCTGAATGTCAAGGAGCGTATGGAAGAAAAAACTGTTGCCAGTTGCCAAACTACAGAACAGTCACATTTATCAAAAAAGAAAAAGTAGTGCATATGTATACATGTGAGTATGCGTGAGTGGGTAGGTGGATAGATAGATCGTACATATCATGCTTCTGTAGACCTTAACGTGTTTTGGAAGCAGGTACACATCATCATTAATGTGGTAACCCCTAGGGCAGGGAGATGGGGAGAAAATCTTTTATTTTTATATTTTGTATCTTTCTGTACTGCTTAATTTTTTACTTTGTGTATATATTACTTTTATGATGTAAAAAACAATGTGAATGTAGAATAAGAAGAGATGAGAGCTGGCAGGGCGGTGGTGGAATAACAGAGGGAAAGGTGGAGAGGTACGCCCTCGTTCTTGCCGATGGCGGAAGTGGCAGAGGTAGTCTGATACACGAGTTTGAGCCTCAGATATTTACCAACAGCTGGTGAAGTCCCCTCTTTCATCAGAATCTCCCTCCAGTAGCATTGCAGGGAGAACTGCCAAGGGTATTCCAAGGGCAGGGCTGCAACGGACACCGTGACTCCCCACCACCCAGGGAGATCTCTCCTGCTGGTTTTGGATCGCTTGCGTGTGTGTGTGTGTGTGTTTGTGTGTGTGTTCAAATACCACCTCGCTTGTGCCCAAGAGGTGGCTATTTCCCTGTGTGACTCCAACCCAGTCTAGTTAACTGGGTCCTGCAGACCAGATAGGAAAACCGCAGCCTGGAAAGCATGCAGCCAGTCACCAGGCAGACAGCCACGGGCGAGATGGACACAGCCGAGAGCTTTCTGTTGTAGTTTCCTGACTCTCAGTGGCGTTTCCCTCCCTGTGCGTCAGCCAAGTATTCTATGTTTGGAAAATTAATGACTCCAAGAGAAGTTATCACTAAGAATTCTGACTTGATACGTTCACGTTAATATCTCCCTTCACTGAAAAAATAATGTATTTGGCCATTGCCATCATTTTCAACTACTGCTATCGTTAATGAGGACAGTCATAATTTAAAATTTGGTTGGCACTTTTTAGTCTGTTATTAATACATACCTTTATTATTATCTTAATCCTCACACCACCTAGGGAGACTTGAGTCAGCAAAGAAACTAAGGAAGGCTGAGTCCCCCAATGCCAGCTACTCAAACTTGGTGCCCATCTGCAGAAATTGTACAGAAATTGAGAACAAGCTTTTAGATACCTTCATAACAATTTGACAGGATAATTTTTTGTCTTATGATAAGAAGGGGTTTTATTTGTTGTGCATTTTTATTATATTTTTGAAAGCATCAGTTTGTGATGGATTAAAAATTTAAATATGTAAATCAACCAACCGACCAACAAAACTGGTCCCTCCCCATAGACATTTTTTTTTAACATCTTTATTGGAGTATAATTGCTTTACAGTGGTGTGTTAGTTTCTGCTTTATAACAAAGTGAATCAGTTATACATATACATATGTTCCCATATCTCTTCCCTCTTGCGTCTCCCTCCCTCCCACCCTCCCTATCCCACCCCTCTAGGTGGTCACAAAGCACCGAGCTGATCTCCCTGTGCTATGCGGCTGCTTCCCACTAGCTATCTACCTTACGTTTGGTAGTGTATATATGTCCATGCCTCTCTCTCGCTTTGTCACAGCTTACCCTTCCCCCTCCCCATATCCTCAAGTCCATTCTCTAGTAGGTCTGTGTCTTTATTCCTGTCTTACCCCTAGGTTCTTCATGACATTTTTTTTTCTTAAATTCCATATATATGTGTTAGCATACGGTATTTGTCTTTCTCTTTCTGACTTACTTCACTCTGTATGACAGACTCTAGGTCTATCCACCTCATTACAAATAGCTCAATTTCGTTTCTTTTTATGGCTGAGTAATATTCCATTGTATATATGTGCCACATCTTCTTTATCCATTCATCTGATGATGGACACTTAGGTTGCTTCCATGTCCTGGCTATTGTAAATAGAGCTGCAATGAACATTTTGGTACATGACTCTTTTTGAATTATGGTTTTCTCAGGGTATATGCCCAGTAGTGGGATTGCTGGGTCATATGGTAGTTCTATTTGTAGTTTTTTAAGGAACCTCCATACTGTTCTCCACAGTGGCTGTATCAATTTACATTCCCACCAACAGTGCAAGAGTGTTCCCTTTTCTCCACACCCTCTCCAGCATTTATTGTTTCTAGATTTTTTGATGATGGCCATTCTGACCGGTGTGAGACGATATCTCATTGTAGTTTTGATTTGCATTTCTCTAATGATTAGTGATGTTGAGCATTCTTTCATGTGTTTGTTGGCAATCTGTATATCTGCTTTGGAGAAATGTCTATTTAGGTCTTCTGCCCATTTTTGGATTGGGTTGTTTTTTGTTATTGAGCTGCATGAGCTGCTTGTAAATCTTGGAGATTAATCCTTTGTCAGTTGCTTCATTTGCAAATATTTTCTCCCATTCTGAGGGTTGTCTTTTGGTCTTGTTTTTGGTTTCCTTTGCTGTGCAAAAGCTGTTAAGTTTCATTAGGTCCCATTTGTTTATTTTTGTTTTTATTTCCATTTCTCGAGGAGCTGGGTCAAAAAGGATCTTGCTGTGATTTATGTCATAGAGTGTTCTGCCTATGTTTTCCTCTAAGAGTTTGGTAGTGTCTGGCCTTACCCCCATAGACATTTTGACAAGCACTGTCCTAGGTAGTAAGTCAAGCGGCCGAGCCTTCAAGCCTGGATCGTCCTCCTGCAAATCCAGAACTCTTTTGAGTATAGCACAACTGCTTTCCTAAAGACAGCTAGCAGTAAATGTAATTTACTACCCTCACGTCTCCTGTAATCCCCAGTATATTTTTGTATCTCTTCCTGAGATAATGAGCATCTGAAAAAGATACTCATGAGAGCATATTAGTAGGATATTGCTAAATACATTTGCACCTAAAACATGCCATTTAAAGTTTCCATTGGAAGTACTAACCAATAAGTTATGTGATATTCCTCAGTTCAGTAATTTCCGTGTGTATTTATAGAATATTTCAGTCGAATGTAAACCAATGAATCAGTCTGTTGGACCTACACTGGGTCAGGTTCTTTATTGAAATGAATCAAAGACAGCAAATGGGGAAGGAAAGGAGATATCGGGACATTGCAGGTGGAGGACATTGGAAGAAGGGCAGCACGGTCTTGGCAGCTGAGCTTTGTGTCACCCCCGGACCCTCCTTACCTCCTGTCTCCCTCCCCACCAACCGTAGGCCAAGGCATAGTGTTGTTCTGGTGGACCTACCAGGACACGGAATTAATGCCTACATCATCAGGATAGCCCTACAGAGGGCTTCCCTGGTGGCGCAGTGGTTGAGAGTCCGCCTGCCGATGCAGGGGACGCGGGTTCGTGCCCCGGTCCGGGAAGATCCCACGTGCCGCGGAGTGGCTGGGCCCGTGAGCCATGGCCGCTGAGCCTGCGCGTCCGGAGCCTGCGCTCCACGGGTTCGTGCCCCGGTCCGGGAAGATCCCACGTGCCGCGGAGTGGCTGGGCCCGTGAGCCATGGCCGCTGAGCCTGCCGGTCCGGAGCCTGCGCTCCACAACGGGAGAGGCCCGTATACCGAAAAAAAAAAAAAAAAGAAAAACAAAGATAGCCCTACAGAGAAAGCGATGTCTTCTTGCCAGACAAAGACTGAGAATGCTTCTGAGGATCCACGTCGTCTTCCAGGAGTCCTAGAAGGATCTGGGAGCAGAACAGGGTCATGGGCCACCTTTCAGTTTAGTGCAGGAACTGCCACTGTCTCCAGTGATGTCACCTTTCTTTTTACTACCTGGAAATCCTCCCTCCTACCTGTCAACATGATTTCACTCTTGTTCTGTCCAAGTTTCATCCAGAAAGGATGAAACTCCTTTTTTCTCCTGACAATTTCCAGTGACCCCAAAAAGCACTGCAAGAAGGAGGGAACATTACTGAATGCGTAGGCGTTCTGCCCGCAAAGAACCTGAGATCTCGTGGAACGTTCGTGCCCTACAGGGTGTTAGTCCAGCCCCATGGTCTGATCCTGGTGAAACACTGTAGGTAATGCAAAAGTCGAATGATGAATTTGACAGCATGAATGCCTGACTTTGGACTATAAATTTGAATAAATAGTCATCTTGTAATTGAAAGGGACCTTTAAGACCAAGGCAGCCAGCCTGCTGCCTGTTGTAGCCTTTCTGACGATTTGTCCTCTGGTCTCTGTGGGAATGGGACCCTCCCTAGGTTCCAAGATAGCCTGCCCCACTGTCCAGAAGGGCTGATTACTACGAAGTTCTTTCTTAGGTTAAGTGAAAAGTGGTACTTACTATAATCCCTTGTCCCAGTCTTATTTCTTCTTCCTTTCCTGTGAGAGGCTTTCAAATCTTTAAAAATAGTTACTGTTCCCTTTATCTAGTGGCTTCTCTCTTTCAGGCTGATAATCCCAAGTTCATGGAATCGTCTGTTGAGACGGTTTCTAGATCCTTTACCATCTTATTCCTGCTCTCCCAAGGTTACTCTAAATCTGTTTTGACTTGTATGAAGACGTTCTTAACTGTTAACCTAACCTGAACCTACTTAATGACGTTGAAAGGTCACATTAGTTAGTTACAGCGCTGGCCCGCCAGATTTGGGGGGAAGGAGGGAACTAGAGACCAGCTTCCGTGTTTATCAGAGTCACGAGGCAGCATGGCCAATCTGGAGGCAGCCCCTGCATCACGGCTGAGTACATGGGCTCCAGAATCTAATTGCCAGGGTTTCAGTCTCAGAGATACCACTGCTTTTTTGCCTTTGATTCCTCATCTTTAAAACAGGGATAGTAATAACACCACCAGCCTCGTCAGGGTTGTTTGTG